GGGGGGGGGGGGGGGGGGGGGGGGGGGGGGGGGGGGGGGGGGGGGGGGGGTGAGCAACACCATTGTTGCTGCCGTGGCACTTTGGAGGTGATCACGTCGAGACAACCGAAGTTGCTTCGCAGGAGAGAAGCAGGGACAGCGTGACAACCCCAAGATATATCTCGTTGTACGGTGCACTTCGTTCACTTATGGTCGGGCGTGTCGCATCCAGTACCCTCAAGTGCTACAAGACGCAAACCTCTTCCTCCTCGTCGGCCTATGGTCACTCCCCACACATCACGACACCATTTATTTTACCACATGGTGCATCGAGGCAGTGCCTGGAGGAAAGGACGTGCGCTTGCTTGCGGAAACCACAACTACTATATACGAACACCCATCGTACATAATACCGCACCAATGCGCTATTTACACATCCTGACGCCAAAACACTGTCCTCTTATGCATTCACTCGCACACGACTGCTCGCGTACAAACTGGGGGAGCAACTGGACGAGATCCTTGTGTGGAGCCCGAAGTCGGAAATCATGAAGCGGGCCAAGTCTACCGGGGGTAGGACGGCGACAGGCACAAACGAGACGTGAGTCATTGCACCAGCACCAGCACCAGTATCAGCTTGGACAGGACAGAACCGGGCTCCCTATGATCTTGTTTACCGCTTAAGACGCTGAAGCACTGGACTAACCCTGATGTTGCTAACGGCCATAGGAATTCAAGCTCTAGACGAGCCCTGATATGTTTTACAGCCCACACGCTCAAGCTCTAGACTAGCCCTGATGTGTTTTACATCCCAAACTCTCAAGCTCTAGACTAACCCTGATGTAGTTTACCGCCTGAACGCTCAAGCTCCGGACTAAGCCTGACCCTGGGGGGGCCTGGGGGGGTGAGGGCATGCAAGGAAGAGATCTCTCCGGCATGCAGCAAGCAAGTACGGTTGGATGCCACACCCACCGGACGGATCGACTTTGAAAGCTCGATTACTCTGCAGCAATGGCGGCGTTGAAACCGTCTCGTCGAGAGCTTCCCGAACGCATAATTCTATTGTGCCTGGCTTTGCTATTTTGCGTAGATCTTGTCGTAAGCCTGTACCATACAGCAGTATGATAGCAACTCTAGCGAGATTGTTTCTTCCTAACGTAGCTGGAGCTAGTTCACCTCTTTTTTCAAGCACCGTGCCAGGTATCGTCGAAATGCTCCCAGCACTTTCTACTGCTGTTTTGTTTTTGTGCTTCCCGCAATAATTTCGTCTCTTGTGTCTTCCATGTGTTTACCAATTGTTTTCGCGCCGCCGTTCCCCACTACTGGTATTGGTTTATTGTTTTGGTTGTGCAGGTACCCAGTGCGTTTCGTCACGTACCTGGCGCGCTTCCTTCTCAACTACGACAGGGCTAGCAGGCAGCTGTGGGATAGGATGGCTACCACCATCCCGATCAACTTCAGGTACATAAGATACCGCTGTACCGCACCACGCTTTGGTGATGCCGACCCGTATCGCACAGCGCGCTATTCCGTGTCGCATCGTACCATACCGTGGAGTTCCCCGCACCACATCTCACGGCACCGGGTGGGCGGCCACCTGCAGGAGAGAAAGCATCCAGATATGCATCTACGGCAGTGTATAGGTTGACGGAATTCACCATGCGGTGCCCCCCCTCCTCTCTGCTTCGTTCTCGACACTACCACCTCTGTCTTGGCAGCACGCTTGAGGTGGAAGCGGTGCGGCGGGATCAGTTTGCCGAGTTTGCTAAGGCCGTTCAGGTGGGGCTGCTGGACTTCCAGGGTCCGCAAGGAATAAAGGCCTTCTTCTCGCTCATGCGCTCCAGATATGGCCAGGTGATTTCATGCTTTTTTGTTCTCGTATTTCAGGACTTCGTTTAGAAAAAAAAACGAATCGCTGTGTTGCCTTTCCCGCTGCGTGACTGACCCCGGCTGAGACATGATACATTTTGTACGTCAAGCACACGTGTGTAAGGAAAGGGACAGGGTGATCAGAATACATGTGACGAATACACCCACCCAAGTAGAGGTGTGTGCACATCTCGGGCATCGTTTTCCACCGCCGAGCATGCTTTGCGGGTTGCGTATGCGGGTTGCGATGTCGGGATACGCCTTGATTGCTTTCTATCGGTTCTCCTTTGCCTGTTGGTATCTGAGGTTGCTGATTGTAGGGGCTGGAATGAGAAGGCAAGGCCTTGCCTTCGCTTCGAGTGCGCTCCTGTGTGGGCGAATAAGACCACCTGGTTGAGAGAGAGTCTTGTTGTTTTTGTGTGTGTTTTGTTGAACACGCGAGTTCGGCTGCATGCAGTAGGCGGTTTCCGCCCTAGACCCACTTCGTTACAAATGATCCATCTATGTAGTTCGTGACAATGATGTCGAAACATTGAGGAAATGCATACCGTTGGACAGATGTTTAGGGTAAAACGAAAATCATTCGTGCTTCATACAGCAACAGCAGCGGCCCTAGCCCCACGGAATGGTCCCTCGTTGTGCCATGCAATGCGGCGGTATCGTGCTAGGTTAAGCCCGAGTAGAAGCAAGAGGAGCCTCTTTCCGCCCTCCCAAGCATTTTTTTTTCCCGGACCACCGCCAACGGCAGCACCCTCCCAAAAACTGTTCTGACACATGGTACATTCCATGGAATACCTCCCGATTCCCGAACGTTTCACGGAATGTTTTCGTGCCAATCGACGCAGGGTGAGGAGTGTAAGAGGCAGCTGGCCATTCTGTTCAGCTTCATAGAGGAGTCTCAGCCGACTGAGTCGATCGAATTGCTCTTGGGAGAGGTTGACAACGGGCAAGTCAACAACATCGTCGTCACTGATCCAGGCGGAGGATACACCGGCAAGGTTCCCAAGGTGGGACGGTATATGTAACTTTTGTGTGTTTTGTGCATGAATTCTTTTGTTGACTTTTTGTTCATTTTTTCTTGTTTTTTGGAGGTCGTTTGGTGACATCGTGTCCCAGTTTCATCTTGATTTTTTCGTTGTGTCTGATGAGCATGACGCCGCACGCCTCCTGCCCGCCCCCACCGTTTTCACCGTACACCTGCCTAGCCTAACTCGCTTGTTGTGTATCACGTCGTTATCGTTGATTTCAACGTTGCTGCTGTTTCTTCTTCTTCTTCTTCTTCTTCTTCTTCTTCTTCTTCTTCCTCTTCTCCTGTTGCTGTTGCTCCTGCTGTTTGATGGATGCTGCTGCCGATGGCGTATGCTTGTCGTTAATTGGTCGAAGGTTACGATCTCCGGATCCCAAGCCGGGAAGCAGGCCACCGCTCGAGCCGTCCTGAGGGAGACAGGTCACTTGGTGGGCGTTCGACTGAAAGACTGCGGCTCAAGGTAGACGAGAGAGTGCACGGTGATTGAAGAAAGCGCGCTTGTGGTCGTTGTCGCCCGTTTTTTTTGCGGTGGTGTTAGTTGCGTTGTTGGCGTCTTTCTCTCCGTCGTCTTGGTTGTTGGCGAACGCTCACTCTACTTCTATTTGCACTACCTTGGTGGTGGTGTTCATGCGCTCGCGTGAAGGTCAAGACGCGGACGGTGGAAGCGATGTCGATGACGCTATAATACCGTGGTGTTGGCGACTCCAGAAATATCGAATGCAAGACTTGGACAGCAGTACAATGCCCGTAACTCCCCCCCGTTTGAGCGTCGTACATCGTACCACGTCTTTTTGCAAATGTGAAGACAAGCACGAAACGACAACGACAGACTCTCGTGCCCGGTGCCCTCAATCAAGTGGTGCATCCTGCTTCAGGATTGAGGCATCGTGTGGTTACTTTTTTGGTTCATTCCTAGAGTTTCTCTTCACACACACACGTGTACTCCTCCGGCCCGGCTGTCAATTCACTGGAGAGATAAAAGCAACGAGCTATCAACCCCCCATGTATGCCATCGAACACCCTTCCTTGTCGACTCCTTTTTCTTTTTCTTTTCCTTTTTCTTTGCAGCAAAAGCTTCGAAGCCCCTCCGCCAGTGTACGTGAGTGCTCCTGCGGATCCCGAAGGAGTTCAGGCCAAGGCCAGGGCTATCTTGGACAAGAGAAAGGGCTTCATCTCGGCCATCGAGATCACCAACCCCGGCTCTGGGTACAACACCGCTCTTGCCCCCGTAACGGTGGAGGTGAGCGGGTGTCTCGGTGTGGTGGTGGTGATGTGGGTTTTACTGTGTTTTTTTTGTCCTTTATTTTATTCCATGTGGTACCAGTATTCCATATCTTGCCCCCGTAACGGTGGAGGTGAGCGGGTGCTTCGGTGTGGTGGTGGTGATGTGGGTTTTGCTGTGGCTTTTTTGTCCCGTATTTTATTCCATGTGGTACCAGTATTCCATATCTTGCCCCTGTAACGGTGGTGAGCGGGCGTCTCGGTGTGGTGGTGGTGGTGATGTGGATTTCGCTGTCGTCTTTTCGTCCCGTATATATGTTCCATGTGGTACCGGTATTCCATCTCTTGCCCCCGTTACGGTAGAGGTTAGCTGTTTCTCGGTGGAGGTGATGGTGGTCTCACCCCGTTTCTTTTACGCCCCGTATTTTTTGTGTGTCCCATATGGGTCCGGTATTCCGTGATTGTTGTTCCGTCTCTTGCTCCCGTCACAGCAGGGGTGAGCGGGTGTTTGGTGCTGCTGGTGGTGGTGGTGGTGGTACCTTTTCTGTATTTTTCTCTCGTCCCGTATCTGTGCGGTGTTTCATGTGGTCCGGTAGTCCGTGATTAAGTGTTCCGTGTTTGTTCTGTGACGATTGAGGGTGTGTATGTATCTGGGTACATTTTGTTGAGTGTTTCTCTCTAGATGGTAGACACAAAGCACACAACAGCGGCGACCTCGTTTTTCTCAATTGACATCCATATTTTTTGTGGCCAAGACAACAAGACCGAACATCTCGTCCGCTGTGGAGTCTGGCCATGGCCTGGGATCATTACTCCGCCAGGAACTAGCTGGCAAGAAGGGTTCGATATATGTCCCTGCCTTTATCTTTTAAAATTGTTTTTGTGGCGCCAAAAAGGTGTTCGGGTCGGAAGTGGACGAGACTGGCGATGAACTGGTGGAAAGCGTGTTGAAGGAGGGTACAGGGGGAGCTTTGGGGGAGACCGCTTGCCCATCTAACTTTGTGGCAGAGGCGATCGTCGACAGGGAAGTGGTGAGACATATTGTATTGAACAGATGGCACTTTGTCTTATCCTGTCCTATCCTCTCGGCGACACCGTTCGTCATGGGTACAACGCTGTTGCTGTTGGTGCTGCTGTCGCTGCTGCTGTGGTTATTGTCGTCCTCGTCGTTGTTTGTTGTTGTTGTTGTTTTTGTTGTTAACGGCATGTTGTCATGTTTTTGTTGTCATCTTGGTTTATACAGCAGTTTGGTGACATTCCCCGCTGAACGTGTGCTTGTGGCCATGTGGCAGAGGGCGCTCTTCTCATTATCTATCGTTTGTCTGTTGAAGGCTTGTACCGACATTTCCAACACGTTGACGCTTACGCTGGATGTGCTTCCCTCATGACGCCCCCCCCCCCCCCC